AGGTCCAGTTTTGGGGAGTTGACTTCCACGTGAGCAGGTCCTGGGGGCCAAAAATCCGATCCAAAGAAGGGTTTCAGGGTTTCGATGGGCTTCGTCACATTGACTCCATCTCCTTTGTCTTTCCAAAGCTACATCAGCCGACCAACTCGACAATGTCTATTCCTCACATGTTTTTGGCGGATGGGCGAGTTCGCACGTGTGCCTTCTTGGAGGTCTTGGAGGTGTTAATGTCCTACTGGCGGAGCTTCCAAGTAGTGGCTTTGACCAGGTCTGCGCCACGGGGCTCCTTCAGCAAGCACTTTCTGTTGCGGCCGAAGCCTCTGCAGCTTCGTCCCAACTCCCCACCCTGAACGGCCGCCCGGTCCCACGGCTGACCGCCGAAGCAAGGTCGGTTGCGGCAGCTTGAGAGTTCTGACAATCCTGAATGGAGAGAATCCCTCAATTGCTCCTAGTAGCGATGCCAGGAGCCCCTAGTAGCTTCTTGTTCCTAGTAGTACGGGCACGAGCCCCTAGTAGCGTCCTTGCTCCTAATCAGGAGTGAAAGCCGGGATGACATCTTGATGCCAAGGTGGTCAAGGCCAAGGCGTTGACACACACAAAAACTGCGTGTGTTGCTCGTCGAAGGTGCAGGATGTCATGGACCATTCTTGTGCCGTAATTTTCGCCCATCCTTTTCTCGAAGGAGGGCGGCAACATCGACCTGCCGCCATTCTTCACCTGGGAGGAGCTTTGCGGCTGGACCGTCTACCGGAGTGTTAGCCAATCTGAACTCATGGCCGCAAGCGCTCACTCGATGTCCATTGACACAAGAAGAAACACTCCGACTACTCATGCCAAGTGCTCGGGCAGTGCTGCTGATAGAAGAATGCTTTGTCCAGGTATCCTTGCCGTCCAAAGCTCTGCTTTCCACCGCTTTGCAAACAAAGTTTGCACTGCCACCTTTGTTGGCATGCCAATGCACCACATTTTCAGAACATGTTACGTACTCCAAATTATCAGCTGCATTGTTTCCTTTGTTCAAGTCTTTGTGATTTACAAAGCTAGACTTCTTGGACAAAGGCGGCCCCAAAAATGCGAACGCCACAAGGCGATGAACACGATTAGTCCGCGTGATTGAGTTGAAGCTGATGGTTGTGCTCCAGTACCCGGATTTCTCCAAGCATCCCCAAGAGATCCGGCCAGATTTAAACTTGACTCTACCAAGTGAGCTGACCATACTCCCCGGTACCTGCAAACCTGACACAGGATCATACATTTGCCGCCACTCCTCTCCTTCCAGTGCACCAGGGTCAAACAGTTGAAGCTCATAGCCCTTCACTAGTTTGCCCTGATGGCAGCCCCTTGAAATTGAGTCCCAACACATGCCAAGCTCTGCTGCTGCTTGCTTCATTGAAGGGGATGTGCTCCAGCTTCGGGAACCCCAAGCTCGCCACATCACAGGCACGGACCGTTGCGCTCCGCCACAACGCCTAGAAAGGCTAGCAAAGGAGGCGCAGATGTTCTGGCTCGGAGTGACGTACTCCAAGTTGTCCAAAGAGTTGTTGGCCTTGTTGCCATCGCGGTGATGCACCTGCCATGTTGCTTCATCTGGCGGAGGACCGAGGAAAGCAAAGGTCACCAAGCGATGGACATAAAAGTCATTGCCAGACATTTTGACTCTGTGGTAGCCACACGTATTGAGAAATCCATACGAAATTCGTCCTTGGGTGTTGCACACCCGGCCATGCGAACTCACCTGCCAGGAGTTGTCAACTCTACAAGTTTGGAGGGTCACGCTGGACACGCATCTCAAGGAGTTGACAATCGTGGGACTTCTGGCACGAAACAATCCTTTCCAAGTTTGGCTGGAAGCAACCTGAACAACACGTGCCATAGCACAACTTCCAAGAGGGAAAGTTAAACTACTGCAAGGGCATGTATCGACTATTTGAGGCCCTCAACATGAAAGCCAACAAGTGTTGTCTCAATTTGACACCACTATTTTCTGGCTCTTTTGTCATTTATTTGTTTCGCCTTCCGAAACTTCTTGATGATCCACACAATTGCACATGAGTTTAGTCTGGCAGAGTTGTTCAGCTACGGGCCCGGCTGTTCACTTCGCCAAAGTGAGGACTGCTTGAGCCTTGCTCAGGTGGTGTGGATCTTGGACTCCCTTTGTCGGGGGGGTTTGCTGATGGGGGCCCTGGGTGACCATTCGTTATGGGTTGTGGGGAAATATGCTTTCTTGCGTTCTGATGTGTTGCTACAAATAATATATCTATGTTTTTCTACGGCCCACTTTTTATGCTAGGACTCATCAAACGCAATGTCATTAATCATACTAGTAATGTCATTGTTATTATGCACGACATCTCGTAGTGGGGTCTTCTATGTCTGGCAAAAGGATGGAACTCAAATCTTGAGCGTCCCCCAAAGTAAAACCTCTCAGCCACAAGCAGCTGAGAAGTAACTGCAAGCACAGCCACAAACCAAAAACATCCAATACCTCTTCCGAAGAAGATTCACTCTTCGATCCTTTTCTGTTCAATTTCACCTTCACCCACCTCCATCACTCCAAGCGTCCAGTCGTCGCCATGCCCGTCGCCGTGCCGGGCACCACCGGCGCCATGGGCGTCGCCGGGGAGAACCGCCCGCGCGATGAGGCGCGCAGGTCGCTGGGGTCGCGCTCCAAGCCTCAGGTTCTTCGGTGAAGTTGAGCGAATTCGATCAAAAGAAAGAACACATGCAGCTTCTTGCTCCTAGTAGCGATGCCAGGAGCCCCTAGTAGCTTCTTGTTACTACTAGTAAGGCACTTGTTACTAGAAGCGATGCACTTTGGTTTGAGGGGGGTCACTGAAAAAACAGGGGACTTCCAAAAGGGAAACTGAACGGAAGAAGCAAACTGGGCTTTCTGGGCCATTCTGCATAAGGGGGATCAGTGGATTGGAAAGGAGTTCAGAATATACCTGCACCATCCAAGTCCAATGGAAGCCTATAGGTAGTGTGGGGTTGGATGGTCCTGGTATGTCCTGGTATATATGTAGCTCAGAATTCCACTCCAAAAGCAACAGCCTTTGTGTGTGGATCCCTCCGCAAGCTGGCATCTGGCGCGATCTGCCTCCGGCATCCTCCCATGAACCTCCGGCTCCGCCGACTCCCGGGCGCGAGAGCCGAGAGACGGCTCAGCAGGGTTTCCGGCGTCAAGCCCTGCAACTTCTCCTTGACACGCAGTGTATGGACACGTCAGCTGGGCACGAAGCGTGGGAGTATGTTGGAGTCTTAAGTCCGAGCCTCTCTCACAGCAAGGTTTTCAGGACGCACAAGCCGTCAGTTGACACAACGGACGGATCCCGACGAGTTGGGTGGTTGGTGGACATCCCAAAATGCTCTCTTGGAGGGACTATTCCACCGTGGTCCTGGTACGCTCCCTTGATCTCTGACACACACTGTCTTTGGGAGGTCTCCGGCCAGTGCGCTTTTCAGTCGCCGAGGCTCCTTGAAGTGCTTCAGTACATCCAGCAAGAGTTGCGTCCTCCAGGGTTCACGGCCGGGTCAAACAAAGCCCTTTCTTCCAGATACGGTATTTCTTTCTTCCCGTTCCTTCTTCCATCCAACACGCCGTCTTTCTTCGTGGCACCCAGGGGGTGACATGACGTCGGTCCTCTGCTGCTCGTTTTCCAAGAGGCCAGCGACCTTGATCCGCTCGGCCCTTTCCTTGTCCAGAGTGTCCTGCCCAACAGTAACAAGAAACTACTAGGGGCTCCTGGCATCACTACTAGGAGCATTCTTACTACTAGTAACAAGAAGCTACTAGGGGCTCCTGGCCTTACTACTGGGAGCAAGGACGCTACTGGGGGCTCCTGGCCTTACTACTAGGAACAAGAGGACGCTACTAGGAGCTTTCGCGCGCGGGCACGCGCGGGATGTCCAGAAAAACAAGAACCGGCCGGGCGCCTCTTGGGTGCCCCATGGCGAGGTCCGGCACGAGAGCGACGTCATCGGTTTGTAAAGGTACCGCCCCCCCCCTTCTGTCTGTGACGGCGTGACTCCAGTCACCCATCCGATCTGAGACGTCTCCTTGAGCTGCGCCAGCATTTGATGCGACTCTTCCAGCATCTTCTGCAAGGACTCGAGCCTCGAGTCCGGGCGGCGCACGCGACGGGACACAGGTGCCGGAACCGGGAAGCCAGCCGAGCAAGGACCCGGCCAGGTCCGAGGCACGCAAGTGATAGGCCCGACAGGAGTCCAGAACACCACCCCTAAGAAGGAGCCCCGGTCTGACAGATCCAAGAACAAATGATCATCCCTTTTTTCCTGACTAAACACCCGAGCAGGATCCTTGGACTAGACACCAAAAACAAGGGGTCGAAGCCCCAATTGAACAGGGGTCGAGTTGGGCCCTCAAAATGAAACCCTTCAGTTTTTTTGAGGATCCGGATTCTGGATCCTCCAAAAGGGGCTCTGACCATCCAACCATCCCGCATAGACCATCCATATAGATCCTGCATCTAGATCCATAGATCCATATATATATATATAATTATATATATATATATATCTATCCCATATAGCTCCTAGCTCCATCCATGGTCCCTCTCGCTCCAAGCAACTCTTTGGTTTGCTTCGCGCACTGCGCCACGGCACCCTGAAGCCCCTCGATGCGCCCGGACTCCCGCAGCAGTTGGCCGTTGACCTCGTCGAAGAGGCCTTGCAAATCCACCAGCTGTCCGTTCACCTCACCGGCGGCGGTCGAAACGCTGCCCAACGGATCGGTGCCCAACACGGCGTTCGACGGCATTGCACAGCGATTCGACCGTTGGAGTCTTTGGGTGAACAACATGGCAGACTCGTTCGTTTGAGGTATGGCAACGAGTCTGGCATGTTGGAGCTGTTGAGGCCCACGTGTTCCCCTTTTTTCTTTAAGCCAAGAAACTAAGAAACCCAAAACATCCACTTGGTGAACTTGGACTGCCAAAATGCCAAAGTCTGGAGTTGAATGGGTAAGTGAATACTGGTACGTATACAGAAAAGCGCACGATGAACTTCCAAATTCCAGAGGACTTGGCCATCAGAATCGAAGTGATTCACAGTAACCGGTGGTTTTCGCCGTGGGCTCTCCCAGTGTTCTCATTGGATGGCCGGTCAAGGTCGGACACCGGCCCATGACCCCAAACCGCATGACCAAATCAGTATCGAAACCACATCAGTTTCCCACCAGAAAATAAACATGCATGCATATATCAGCCACTTCTACCAGTCTACCACATGAACGTTTCCACAGCTTCAGGCATGATGGCTTCCTGAACCCCTCTCAGCATCGACAGGGAGAAGTCACCTCTCCTGCCATCCTCCCATGTCGAACGATCCTCTCCCTCCCACCACGCGACACCCTCTGGTCAAAGCACTTTCTAATTGGTACCTTGGGCGCTATGAGCTACCACGACCTGGTTTTCGAGATCCCTCTTCCTCTCTTCTCTCGGCCTCAGCGAGCTCTTGGTCGCGGTGCGCCACCATCTGCTCGCGCTGGTGCAGCTCCTTCTGCTGCGCTTGGAGCTCCTCCTGCAAGTCCCTGACCTCCACGGTGCGATGGAGACGGTGGCGATGGCCAGGTGCCCTACCATGACACCAAACCAATGTACCCTCCAAGAAAACATCACCACATGACCATCCCCTCTCCTCCCCTCTCATCCCCACAAAAGGACCAAACACACCTAGCCTATAGCCCCTTCCCCACACACTACCCCCCCCCGGCCCCAACCAAAAATCCCCCCCCCCCACCACCGTGGACGCCCGCGCCACATGCGCGGCCCGTCGCGCGGCGCCTGAGCCTTGAGGTGCGTGGCCACGTCGCCGTGCCGCTGCTGCGCGCGCTCGTGCTCGCTGTGCGCCTCGGCGAGGCGCTGCTCCAGCGCCGCCACCTAGCGGCGGAGCCGTGGAGAGGGTGAGACAGACTATTGGGATGTAGACCTCAGACAGGGTGATCTCAGACGTAGACCCGAAAACACATGTTTTGTTTACTATTGGGATGTGATCCCTCTTAGACGAATCCCTTTGCATGGCAAATCGAGCAACATCTTGGCTAGGTGTTTTCTCGAGCAACGGGTCGATGATGGCATCATACGCAGCCAACAAGTGAATCAATTTAGCTAAGTAACCACTCCCCGCAAAAACACAGACGCATCTCACAGCAAGAACCCTTGATGAATTCCACTGGGAACCTTGCGGAAATGCACTTCTTTCGGTCTGACTGCCTTCTCATCTATCTTCCTCTCTCCCTCCTCCTCCCCATGTCATCCTTCCACACCACACACCTCCCACCATCCACCCCCACCGCTCCAGTCCCGCTCGCCTCGCGTCCGGACATCCGCTCCTCCTGCTCCGCCTGCAGCGCCCGCCGCGCCTCGCGCAGCAGATCCACCGCCTGGCGGTGCTCCGCGCGCATGGGATCCACCTCGCGAGCGAGCGAGCGGAAAGCACCGGGAAGCGGGCGCTTGGGGGGAAGAGCAGGCCAGAATCATCCATGGTGTTTCTGTCTATTTCATCTGTTTCTTCTCAGGTTTGTGACTCTAATTCGTGATAAATCATTTCCTATAAGGAAAATAAGCTGAGATAATGAAAGACATCCTCCAAAACCATCACATTTATGCTGGTTTTTTGGATTAAAACACACGTTCATTTTCCTTCTCTTCTATCTTGCAAGGCCGGCATGTCGACTGGTCCCGATGGGCACTTCGACCGGTCCCTCGTACTTCACCAGATCTGGCCATGCAACTGATCTGGCCATGTCTGTTCTGCTAGGAACAAGAGGACGCCACTATTATATAGGGGCTGCTGGCATCGCGAACCGAACGGAGCGAGCGATCGGACGCTACTAATAGGGCCGGGGGCTACGATCGGCCGTACTACGAACGGAACACTGTTTCATTCGAGCAGGTCCAACCAGGCTTGTTCCAACGGTCCAACTAACCTTGACCTGAGCGGTCACGCGCGCAAAGCGCACGCCGCGCGCCAAGTGCCCAGACCTGGCCGTGAAGGGCCTGCAGCTCTTGGCGGGCTGCCTCCACCTCACACGAATCAACGAGCCATTGAGTCTTGCTACAGTAAATCACACGAATCTGTGGGACTAAATCTAAAAGCTGATGGAAGCTGAGCTTGATGCAAAAGACTTCCAGGGACCATTTTCAGGATTTATCTTTGGTCGCTGTACTCCTTTTGTCTGGGGGGTCTTCCTTCAGCTTCTCTCATCATCCCTTCTTCACAGCCGCTCCTCCAGTCGGTTCCTGCTCCTCCCTTCCTCCACTCGGCCATGCCCGACCTCAGCGCGGTGGCGCAAGACTTCGGCATCCGCCTTCGCTTGGGCCTCCGCCAGCTGCTGAGCCACTTGAGCCTTGGCTGCCTGCCGTCGACGGAAGACCGGGTCCGAGCGAGGGACAAGGTGTGCTGGAGAATTTGGCCAGCTTCTTTGGATGGCGAAGTCATACATCAAGTCATTTTGGAGGCCTCCCTGGAGCTTAGACAACAAAGAGTGGACAACACATGTGATGGAACCCTTGCACCAACCGGCTTCTGGCCATCATCAACAGCAACCCCAAATAGACAGATGCAAGACCAAAGAACATTGAAGTGTCTTATACTCGCGCACTATTATTATCTTAAACATCGTTCTCATTCCACATCTGTTCTCGCGCAATTGCATGTGAAACAACGGAATCATTCCTAGAATAGCAAAAGCTCTCCCGCAATCATAGCAGTCTCAAAATAAACCAGTTCTGTTGAAACTTCCTGATAAGTCAACACCCAGAAACAAAAGCTGAGGGATCCCGTCTTCGAATGAATTGCACACCTCCCTGCCACCCCCAGATTCTTTCTGGGCACATCCAGATTCACACAAACAAACACCAGGCTTGTCCATGCATGCGTCTCCTTCCGAGCTTCAACATTGAACCAACACATGAATCCACTCATCCAGGGAATTCCACCGGCACCACCCAAAACACCTCTCTTCTTCTTTCCCTTCTCTTTTTCGCCCCCCCCCCCCCACCCCCTCTTCTCCGTTTCGTTCACCCCACCCACGGTCGACGGAGCGGGTGGCACCGCCTCCTCCAGCTCCCGGCGCTGCGAGGCCTCGCGCTCCGCCTGCTCCGAGCGTAGCGCCAGTTGCCGCGAGAGCTCGGCCTCGCGCGCCTTCAGCTGGGCGGCGACCTGGGTAGAGCGGTGCAGGAGTGAAAGGGGTGAAGACGGTGAAGACAAAGATGTCAAGATGTTCTTGAGGTGAAATATGGTCCAATTCTTTGACCTCCTTGGTCCTTAGTGGTTGTTAATTACGAGTACACACGCGTATTACATGTTGTAAAATCGAGACGTACTAGTACGGTCGGTCTGGTTGGTTTTCGGTTAGGTTGGTTTATGTTGGGTTGGGCTACTGTGCAAAAATTCGCAAGGGTTTGCCTGGGTTGATTTGGTATCAGAGTGGATGAGGCTTATGGGCTTGTTCCGGAGTCTTAATCAGCGGATTTTCTGACAGAAAGCCAGATATGTGATGATTGACATACTTGATCTCCTGGTATGAACATTCAATGTACACCTTCTTTTCCCTTCTTTCGGCCATGCAGCTTCGTCTTGATGTTCTCTGACCAAGCGCTCCTGGGACGCGTTGCTCATGAGAATCGCACGAGGCAGCTCGACGAACCAACAGGTTCATTGGACCTCAAGCTAAAGACCTCCCTATCAGGAGTTCCCAAGAAGTGCTATCCATGGAGGAAGTCGGGGTGCTCATGATCCACTCATGTGTCAAAGCATAGCCTTTGGAATTATCGTGCTGGCAACAGCTTTCTTCACCGATCCTAAGAACTGGGAGTGGTGGGTGGTGGGGGTGGAGAGGAGCGAATGAAAGGGTGGAACTTGGCGAAGATGGGGTGGTGGTACTGGTGGTGGTGGTAGTCAAGGAGCATCTACAGTCAGCCATGTCAAAGTTCTGATTTGAGTGGCCGGGGTTGGTGCCTTCCAGTGCACTTGAAGTTCACGGTGCTCTTCTCGTCTTGGAATCTTCTGGCACACTTGTGGGGTGCCGTTGCCAGTTACCCAGAGTCAGTTCAGTTTCGCTTCAGCTGTGAAACTAGCTGTGAGTTCGGCGGATCGATTCATCCGACGGATCTGTGACGCAACGCGATGGTCGGATGGTCGGTGCCGGTCGATGCTTTGTCTGCCAGGTGGTGGTGGTGGTGCAAGTCGTGCTTCATCCGTTCCGATAGAGCCGAGGCCTTTTCAGAAGACTCCACCTCATTCCGAAACAGCAAAGCCAGAACAAAACAGCAGCAACTGCAAGAAAGGAGTGCTTGATACCCACCATCTCCCAATACGAAACAGCACAGCAGGGCCTTCTGTTTCTCCAGCGCTTCCGCCTGCTGCTGCCGCCGGAGCTCCAGTTCTGCCGCCAGATCCGCGGCGGTGCTCGTCGAGGATCCCAGCATTTGCCGCTGCAAGCCTCGCACAGCGCCGAAAACGAAAGTGTGCGGGAGCTTCGATGGAAAAGCTGGGATAGCCTGCAAACCAATCGAAACATCCTTTCCGCTGGGAAGCTGGGAAAGAAAAATAAATCACCTGAACTCAGGAAATGGTGGGTGAATGCTCCGCAAATGGTGGCCAAGATTGGGCTCAAAGTCAGGCTCCAGATTGGGCATCTGGTGTGCAGGTCGGGTTCTCACCAGGTCATTCGGTGCCGTACTGTCTGTGGTACTGTCTGTGGAAACCTGTTGGTTTTGACCACAGTCCTATGCAACTTCGTTGGTGGGGTCAAGCCATGTGTAAATCCAATCCTGGCGCTCAATCTGCTGGAGCTCTGCAACTTCGTAGGGAAGGCCACAGGAATTCCGAATATCCGGTGCCGATCATCGAACTGGACTCTGCAGGTCTCCTTTACGTGAGCAGCCTCAAAACCACCTCAGTCTAAAACCTTTGCTGCTGATCAGCAGAGAGTTTTCGCGCCCTCTTTCCTCTTGCCGTCTGCAAAAAAGGCCAAATTATACAACTGGCCACCCAACCGATCAACCCGCCGAGAGACATTCTTGCACACTGGCGTGCTGCACGGCCTTTTCTTGCAACCTTTGCTTTTCCGTCTCCAACTCCTTCTCATGAGCCTCTCCACCGACCGACGAGCGCCGTGACTTCGCGGGTGGGTTCCACGGAAGCGGCCGAAACGAAACGAATCCACCCAGACGCTGCGTGAGTTCACAGCTCGACTGGTCCCGAAGCAAACCCTAGGGATTGGGTGAGAAGGTCCGGACCGGGTCCGGCCCGTCGCGTCGTTACGCGGCGTCCCTACCGACCCCGCAGCTGCATCGAACGGAGCACGGAAAAAGCAATGACGACCGGTGTGGGGCGTAGCTTCTTGGTAACGCCGTTTGGAAGGATCATCGGATTTGTACATGCAAATACGATGATGCATTTGTGGGCATCCTAATGGGTGCAGAAAGGTTCGGAATTTGGGGTTTGTTCTTCAAACCATCCTCCCCACCATGCCAATCCTGGGTGCCTCAGCCACGAACTTCAGATCAAAATCCCAACCACTTCGGATCCAAAACGAAACACTTCTTCACCTGACGTTTTTGGAGTTCCCCTTGGTGACCGTCCTTGTTGGTGACCTTTAAAGAAGTTCGGTCACGAAGAATCGGTCGGTTCGATGCTCCCCATCCGGCGAGACTCGGACTCGGTGGAAGCGTGGACCGTGGACCGGGCATCGCTACGTTCGGAACAAGTGCCTTACTAGTAGTAAGAAGAAGCTATTAATAACCACTCCATCAGCGACCCGGCGGCACAGCTCCCCATCAGCGACCTCCAATTCTTCTCGGAGCCCCTTCTTGGAGACATTGGCGCCACAGCCCATCACACACGCGACTTCGCACCACTCAGCGACTTCGCCAGCTGCGGGAAGGACGGGCGCCCATCGCTTTTCCCAAAAAACTGGAGCCAAACCGCGCTGGAAGATGGAAGATGATGAACGATGCTGACAGATGGAAGGACCCCTATTGGGTTGTTCCCCCCCGTTGGAACCGTGAATTCGTATCTATCAAACAAGAGAAGGTCAATTGAGGTACCTGAGGTACCTGAGTTTTAGAGTGGATTTGACATGGATTGACCCTGCTTGAAAGACTCCGCCGTAGCTCATGGGTTCCCCGTGGAGTAAGGACTTCACAGTCCCCGCTGCAACACTATGACCGCGCACATACTTTAAGGAGATATCACCTTTACCAAGGCCCAGTTAATGGTCAGGTTGCAGGCCTTTCTCTCAAAATAGTGTGTACGTTTTTCCTTTTTTACCGACTACTACTGGTTATACTGGTTTACTGGGACACACGCGGTATGCATACCCTCACTCGGACTGCACCACCTGGCCTTCTCTTCGGATGCTCGACATGTCGCGCCGCGCGGCACGCGCCATGGCGACCCGAAGACACCGGCGCTTTTGACCCGAAAGACCTCCAACGAGCATGCATGTCCCATGGCCACAAAAAAGAGCCACGGCCACCGCGGGGGGGGGCGTTGAAAGAGAGGGACCGAACATTGAAGGAGCGGACATGCCAGCGACATTTCGACAGAAATGTTTGGCCAGTTCAAACTGGTTATTGGCATTTGTCGATCCCATTGAAGAACATGATCCTTGGCGGCCCCCATGAGCCCAGGCAGATCCACGATCTCAAGGCAAACCGGCAGACCAGACCGTCCAGCGGTCGAGTCATTCCATCCCAGAGGCTCATGGACCCTCAAACTACTACATGTTTGAGGTCCAAAACCCTGGCAATGAGGGTGCAATGAGCCTTTGGGATTGATGTCTGCCAGGATGTCTGCTTCTCTCCTTCTTCTCGGAACGCTGCAAAGGCAGCGCACGGTGAAGAGGAACTCCTCCTGGCACCACGGATGGAACTTGAGGGAATTTGAGATGATCTCAAGGTGCTTGGTCATTGTGCTGCACACCAACCTTCATTTCACAACAAAACACTCGATTCTCATTCTCCAGATGTTTCTTGGGCGTGTTACGGCGTGTTGGTGTTTCTTCTGCAATGTATGCCCAAGCATCGCATTTGGGGCCAAAATGGGCAGGCCGTCGTTGGCATGCTCCCTTCAACAAAGAACACACCCACGACGGACCGACGGCGCATGAGCCTCCGGACCGTCGCACGGACCGGACCGGGTCGTCCCGACAGCGAGCGACGTTCGGAAAGCAGAGAGGTCGAGAGTTCCAGGCGTCGATCCCAAGAGTTTCCACCGGTGGGATGTGGGTTTTGGATGGTTTTGGGAGTCCCATCCGACCTGGACGTTCGGGGCCAACCCCGCCGACCGGTTGGAACGAGCTTGGTCCGGTCTGATCCTTGTCTCCCCAAAAACCAGGCCCCCCGCGGTTCGGAAGTTCCGGGGTGTCCATCAATCACCTGGTTTTCCCGGCAACTCGGGTCCTGGCAAGTGAAACTGGGATTTGCTTCTTTCGGACGCAGGGAATCTCAGGGACCGGATTCCCACTCCTCTTCCCTTATGCCAGGAGATCTACCACTGGATCCACCCAGTTCGGGCAAATAGACCCTACGTACGTCCAGTCTGACCCAGGTCACCTGGTCGACTTGACCTCCTTAAGTGCTTTAAATATGAGAATCCCCAGTAGTTTGACCTGGGATTCGAACTGACTTGTGGAGACAAGTCCCGACCACCGTCTCGACCTCCGCGTGTCGAACTGACCACCATCTCGACCGTCCGAACGCGTGGACCTCGTCTCTCGGCTCGCCTCGCCCGCATGCTCGGGCACAGACTCCACGTTCACCACGTCGCCAATGAGACCTTGGGGGCCCTTGATCGCCCGAAAAGGTGCTGCTTACACCGGTGGGTGGGTGGAGGGTTCTCTTGATGCCAATATAACATGTGGTGTTTTTTGTGTCTTTGCCACGGAGTCCGATGATTTACCCCTGCATGATTTTCAGGAACGTGTCGCAAGTTTCAAGAACTGTGGTTGCGGATGAGTCCGCGAGGACGAGCGGCTCTATGTGATTAGATGACCTGCCCACGAGATTGGTGAGGGGGATTTCAGATATTGCAACATCACATGTTTTTATCTCTGTTGGGGGCTGCGCTTTCTTCTTTATGGGATTCATCCCCTAAGCCTTACTTTCTTGCCAGGATGTGAAACATGCGCGATTGGTGAGTTCCCCTCGGAACAGTTCTCCCTTTGTAGACCTGTGTCTGCTCGGTGTTTGCAGCTTTTACCTCTTGCAAAACCTAATTTAGGAGCTTGATTAAGCAACCATCCAATTGGATTGGAAAAAATCATATGGAGGCTTTAGTAATCAAAATTCTACATTATGCATGAATATTGCAAGGCGAGCACGTTACAAGTGGTTTGCAGGCATGAGGCTGCGCTTCTGAGCGGCCCACTGAACGCGTCGCTCGTTCTCTGCATGCTTAGCCACCGTTGTAACAGTCCGAGCCGCTGGCGAAGAAGTTGCCTAAACACGGGCCATGGTGCTTGCACATGCACAAGAACCAACTTAAGTTCTCGTTTGCAAGCAGACCGCTTCTTGTTTTGGGAAACGGTCAGTTTTTGGTATCCGAAACTCCCTTTGATCAATGCTGGGTTTTAACAAAGGCAGCAACACAAAATGTGGTGCCACCACTTCAAGCAGACCTACTATTTGTACGAAAAACAGTGTAAAGGACTCCCTCAACAAAACTCAGCCGTGGAATGCGAGCAGTTGGAGTGGTTGCATGACTGGAACTTTGAAACCCATCCCTCAAGTATTCCCAAACACCTGCGATTGCAACCTTTCTTTGTGAGCCTACAAAGCGATGGCTTAAGATATGTCCACGAAGAGCTCCAGGGTTGCAATGGTTCGGAGGATGACAGCGGAAGCAACCACCAGCCTACCGCAAGAGCTATTTGTGCGGTTTGCCGTTTGCCAATTACTTTTTCTTGATGCCAGGCAAGCCAGATCATTGCTCAACGCGCCGTCTGCAGAATGGCTGAGCGCTGGAACGGGCATCAATCAGAACTTACTCCGGAGCCAGTGCAAACCTTTCCATGCGGTCTTGGGCAGCCGAAACAAGACCAATGCCCTCCTGAGGGGAACTCGCTGCTGTTTTTTGCGGTCTGAGCGGCCATGTAGTGGGGTATCAAGAAACAGGTCAAGAGTCGAGCTGCACCGCTGCCAACAGCAGTGAGTTTTCCGAACGGCTGCGAAGGGCGGCCTTCTCGCCATGCTGTCTCATGAACAAATCTGAACCCCGTCACAGCGCATGCCGCTTTTGGCGGGGCATGGTGTAGACCGAGTGCCACATAAATAGCCAGAATGATAAGATGGTCCTTTTTGGGACATCGTTTCTATCTATTTGGGGACTAGCTTTGGGGTGGGGGCGCAGTTGCTCGCTTTCGGTCTTGTCCCAGCAATCGCACCTTGTCGGGGACATCAATCATCGTACACCCAAACACTCAAAGGCCACCCCGCCCAAAAGCTCGACATAGGGGCATTGTGTTGGGACGCCCCCCTGCCAGGAGCCCTAGCTTCTAGCTCCTGGTAGCAATGCCAGGAGCCCCAAGTAGCTTCTATGCCAGGAGCTTCTAGTAGCGTCCTTGCCCCTACTAGCTTCTTGTTCCTAGTAGTAAGGCCAGGAGCGTCTAGTAGGAGCTCCTAGTAGGAGCCCCTAGTAGCTTCTTGTTGCTAGTAGTAAGGCCAGGAGCCCCTAGTGGCGTTCTTGCTCCTTGTAGCAATGCCAGGAGCCCTAGTAGCGTTCTTGCTCCAGGGGCAATGCCAGGAGCCCCTAGTAGCTTCTTGTTGTTAGTACTATGGCCAGGAGCCACTAGTAGGAGCCCCTCGTGGCTTCTTGTTGCTAGTAGTAAGGCCAAGAGCCCTAGTAGCTTCTTGTTACTAGTAGTAAGGCCAGCAGCCCCTACTAGCGCTTGTTTTTAGTGGTATGGCCAGGAGCCCCAAGCAGCGTCCTTGCTCCTAGTAGCGATGCTAGGGGCCCCTAATAGCTTCTTGTTCCTAGTAGTAAGGCCAGGGGCCCCTAGTAGCGTCCTTGCTCCTAGTAGCGATGCTAGGGGCCCCTAGTAGCTTCTTGTTCCTAGTAGTAAGGCCAGGGGCTAGTAGCATCCTTGCTCCTAGTAGCGATGCCAGGAGCCCCTAGTAGCTTCTTGTTCGTAGTAGTAAGGAGCCCCCAGTAGCGTTCTTGCTCCTAGTAGTAAGGCCAGGAGCCCCTAGTAGCGTCGTTGCTCCTAGTAGCGATGCCAGGAGCCCCTATATAGCTTCTTGTTCCTAGTAGAGGCACCAAGAATTCGGGTGACTCGATCAAGCCGAATCGGAGCCTGCGCGAGCCTGCCGCGAGCCGCCGCCGCCGCCGCCGCCGCGTTTTCGCACGCACGAGCTTGAAAGGATGGAGATGGATGGGAGAGATCCAGGAGTTCCGCCGCGACAGGCGGGGACCAAGCACGGAACACTTCGCCCCTTCAGGGAGCGGTCGAAGTCGAATCATATGGAGGGGTCCGGACCCGAACCAATCCCTATGGTTTTGAGGTACCGGTCGGCCGGTTTGGAGCGTCTGGGAAGGTGGAATCTTGATTTCTGATCCCCCCCACTTGGATTGTCAAACCTCTTCATCTAATGCCGTTGATTCATCCAGATTCTACCGCAAGTATAGGGGATCCAGAAGTCTGCCCACCCCGATCTTCCCAACGACCTGGGCTATATATATATATATATTATATATGTATCCCCTGGAAGTCAAAGACTATTTGAAAAATACTCTCGGGGTGACCCGAAAAGGAATTTGTCCTTTACTTGGATGGTGCCAAATATATAGTCTTTAGACCTCTACGAAGCCCGACAAAAACATGCAAAAGCTCGCTGTCCCTCTCCGCCCAGGGGCAAATGCGTACCTCAGCGGCGCACTCGACCGACGGGCTCCGCGCCCGGCGTCTCCACGCCGGTGGGACTCACTCGCGC